CCCCCCCCCCCCCCCCCCAAAAAAAAAAAAAAAACTTTCCACCCTGCCCAGTCACAAGTAAAGCCCCCCTTTTTATGGCTTTCAATTGTCCGAAGACATAAACCTAGAGCTAAGCTCCCTCGCTCTGGGCAGAGGAAGAACAGCCGAGTCAACTGTGTCTTCAGCATCCTGCTGCTCTTTCGTAGATGGACCAACTACTTGATCAATAGAATCATTCCTTTCTACAAAAACATGAAAAAAAAAAAATCACTGTTGTTCCAGTCACCGTAAACCAATTGTTAGAAAGATGAACAATAAATCAAAGCAGTACAACAAAAAACCCCCAACTGATGTGCTCCATGGAACCGATCACTTTTGTACGTATTTCTATTTCAACCTGCAAATCTGAAATTATAGGAACAACAAATTGTTAAACCACTATACTCTGTATGTAGTCTATGAAAATGACAGAATTGTCTCTATTCCACAATAATAGACTGATTTCTCATGTTCAAGTCATCAAAATGACAATTTTCAACAAAAAATTACTTGAAAACATTGCGACTCCGATAAAAGTAGTCTATCTCTGCATAAAAGTTGGGGAGACACATACAGAACAATATGCAAAAACAGAAACCTCCTATAATTGAAAACCTATAAAAATATTTAAAAGTCAACAATTTTCCATACAAACCCATGGCTCACTAAACAAGCCTACTGCTACAGAGAGACAGCTTTGCAATTTGACACACTTAACAGCTAAGAAAACCATCAGGGAGATACATTTTTGCAATTTAAAAGCATTCAACAGATAGTCCTTGTTACTAGCTTATCTGCAGTTACATATATAACCTCTGTGGAAGACAGAATTTTGAATATTAATTAAAGATGAAGTTTGACCAATTGCTTCCAAAACCTTAACTGGATGGAATGGAACCTTTTGATGTTCTAAGTATCAAAGATCTATTAATCAACAAAACAATGCAGCCAATTTAATAATCAAAAGTACTCAGTTTACCGCAAAAAAATCTTCAAATGTGAAGTCTGCATAACCTAAACTCTGAAGTGTTTTTCTGCATTCTTCCACATTGGCTGTGATGCGATCAACTTCTGCTCGATCTTGTGATTTCAGAATATGCTCCTAATGTTGGTAATTAACAATCTTTAATAGCTAAAATTACAGGAACTGAATTTTCCTCTAGCCACAGGCACAAAGGTTGAGATACTAAGAAGTGCTTGTAAGACGTAAATACAAAAACATACAAGGTAAGCAAACATAAAGCTTCGAAAAAAGCAGTTTCCATCTCCCCTTGTTCTCCTGATGGAAGCATACCGTTCACTCAGTACCTGCATAAATGTGCAAATATATTTAAGTAGCCACAAGATGCAAGAACCAAAAAGCTAAAATGGCATGAAACCTTTATTTTCTCAAGCAAAATACTACTTCCTGACTGATATTCAGCTTCCAATGACAAGAGAGGTTCCTACAAGTACATTGCCATGAAGATTATTAGTTTTTACATGTAAATTCATTGAATAATTGAAAATTGCATAATATGATAAAGATAAGAATTTTGATATCTCCAGAGAAAGGGGAGCAAGGTGGAGTGGTGGAACAATTTCCACTTTACTGCACCATCCATTTCTAAACAACAGCACTGGTGAAAAATAAAATGGAAACTAAACTTTAAGATTAGCATTGATCAATCAAAAGAAAAGACCAACTACAATTCTAATTGCCAAATCTTTAGGTATCAAATTACAATGTAGCTTGCTCAGAAATTTAGGCTCCAGTAGACTGCCCCGCTGAAAGCTGCTGTCAAACTAATCAGAGATAGAATTCCAACCCAACAGGAGTTAACATATTCTTATTCAGCATATTTCAGTGGTTATATGAATTATATGCAAAAAAGAATGGTCGATGATTTACGGCTACTGAAGAAAGAAATGTCATGTTTGGTTTGTGTTCCGGAAACAGTTTTTTGTTCTCAAAATTTTAAAAACACCAAAAACCTTACACTTGTTTTTAGAGTTTTCTTTGAAAATTTTGGAAACAAGAAAAACAATTTTGGATCTTTAGATATGGGTATATATATATATTGGTATACACGTATATATACCAATATATATATAAATATGTAAATATTATATATGTAAATATATATATATATATATATATTATATATACATATATAATATTTTATATATTATCCAAACAGGTTTTACTATTTTCTGTATTGTAAAATTGTTTTTGAAATCATCTAACCAAACAAGTTGTTTATCTCAAAAAATGTCAAAACCACTTTCTTAAAACTCTTCTCAAAAATTGTTTTCGAATATTATTTTTTGAAACGCAAACCAAACAGGCCCAAAGTGTCTGATCATATGATTGATCATAGGAAGCATGTATAGTATAACTTTTTTTTCGTTTTTCCTACATTAGCAAATGATAATGAGAAAGTAACAGTTAACTAAGTATTAAATGGAAGATTCGTGCGAGCACCTGGGAGCGCGGGGGGAGAAGAATTTAACATGCAACAACATTCCCCTCCATTACCATCCAACATATAAACAAATTGTGGTATTCAGGGAACAAAAACATATCAGATACCGTCAAATAGCACTTGTTAAACTGAATCAGAAAACATTAACCAAGCAATAATCAATTTAAACTTATGTAGACAAAGGTTTATCGTTCAGTGCCAGATGATGTTCTTGCCTTGTCACCCACAAACGGAATTTTCTCAGCTTCCTCAGCCAGGATAGCAGATTGCTGTTGCATAATATCATTGTCCCTGAAATTTGTCCAATCGTCAACTTCAGATGCTTGAACAGATGTCATCTCGGCATCTGTTAGAAGCCCCTCCTGTTTATGCATCTCCATCTTTGGAGATTAGAAAAAATCACGTGCTTCTCCAATCAACCTTGAATGGGAACAGAAAATCATATCATGTGCTAGCTTTAATCTGAACTAACAATTTGTCAGCAGCAAAAATATGAAGGATGGGAAGTTTTCCTCTGCCCATAAGTAAAATGCATCCAGAAAATCTTAGTAGCAATGAAGGTTGAAACAAATATAATTTTGGAACATGAAGTATGGTTATAGATATAGGTAAAAGGGGGTTAAAGGCATTTAACAGTTGCAAAGGCAGGTTAACTACATGTAGTTGGTGGAGCTTTTTCACACGTTTCCTAAAACATCTAAACATTACCTACTTTAGCTACTTCAACATAAATTATGATATTAAAAAAAAGGGTTAAAAACAACCTTTAAAGGAATGTGGGCTTTCCATCAAAAGCCTTGTATATCTCAACCATATTTTGTCATTCACCAACAGAAAAAAGACTGGGGGAGTAATATGCCAAAGATCATCCATGGCATCAAAACTATAAAATCCTCTTGATAGATAAAAGGAAATGGGGTGTCATAACAAAGATAAATTTCCCTCAAAACAGATTCAATTTTGGAATCCTTACAACAAAAGCATAAATAACGTAAAGACTACTTAAGCTAATAAGATCCACTGGCAAGCCAAGAACAGCTCTCTCTCTCTCTCTCTCTCTCTCTGTGAAAAAAAATCAAAGAGTCATGTACACAATATATGCACACACGTGACACACTGGAAGAACAAGGAACCATCCCCAATTCGAGTTTGACAGAGCACAACTGTATTTTCTAAAACTGAAGCCTTAAAAGAAGCACCTGCACTTAGGAGTCTTGTCCAAACATGTTTTATAACAAAGATATTAAAAGATGTACATGTCTCCAATTCATTCAAATATCTCCGGCACTTGCAAATTTTTCATCGAAACAATATTAAAGTCACATAAATTGATAATTCATTCTGCCTCCCCTGCCACTCTAAGTCATTTTCAAATTAAAAGATTCTCCAATACACAGTCTATTCTCACGCAACTCTCAATTTTAGAGAGTCAACCATAAAAAATCAAGTTTCAATAGACTCTCTATTTAGACCAGCAAAAACATAGTTCAATTTGGCTTTCTACATTTAAAGAGGCAAACTCCCTCTCTACTCTATAATTAATGAATGAAAAGATAACAGATATACCTTTTTCATTAAATGGTCTAAGTATAAATACTATTTTTCTATTCGAATAGAGAGTTCTATTGTAATTACTACAAAAAATTTCCGATCTATTTTAACTTTTTATCAAATATGCTCTCTACTATAAAAAATATGGTCTCTATTTCCTAAAATAGAGACACTATTGGAGATGCTCTTACACATTGACACACAATTTTAAAAATTGAATAATCTAGTGTGTCAATTTTTCCCTATCTACAACGTCAACTATTAGATTATAGTCCATTCATGCCTTTCCAGTTCCCACCATTGTTATCAAAATTGTAAGATTCGCGATTCAATTTGTACAATTCGATTCGATTTAGTCCCCATTTGATTCAATTTAGTCCTCATTCGATTCATATCTTACTATAGAATCATTTTCGGTCGGGAATCGTACAATTCGATACAAATTGAAGGAATCACACGATTTGTTTTATTTTCTTTTTTAACCCTATTTTTAGTCAAACGATGTTATTTTGCTAAAAGAGTCGCACCCCCAAATATAAAACTTGTGTCTCTCTTTATCTCCTGTTCGTGCCTCTGCCTCTCGCAGCGACTGTTATAGTGTCTATGAACATCACACAGAAACGGCGTCTCCTTCACTTCAAATATGGCTTTTCTTCTTCAACAACATCTACCAAACCCTAACACACCCTACATCTTCTTCAATACATACTCTTTTTTTTTGCTTTTCATCAAAAATTTATTTTTTAATCAAATATGGGAAGTAATTTCTAAATTTATATGTTTGAATCAGTATGAACTTTTCTTATTTTAGTTAACTTCATTAGTATCAGGAAGACATAACTATTTTATCGTGGCAATTTTGATGGAAAGATTTATTATACATTACGAAATAAGTAAAAGAGGTACACACTCAAGTGTAGCTTCCTATTATTGTATCGTGAATATACTCAATTGTTTATTTTTAAAATACAATAATGTTCAATATTTAATTATTTAATATCTTGCCTATTTTAAACAGATAGATGTTATTTTTTTTTTATCTTTGTTCGAATTTTGTATCAAATCTTATGATTCACAATCCGATAAATCTAGAATTTCGATTCCCGATACGAATATCGATTTAATAACTATGGTTCCCACTACCTAGAACCATACTATATCCAACAATCCTTTTAATAAATTAGTCTTCCTCACAAGTAGATTTGGTTGGTGTTGCTTGTAGTTTGACAAACCACTTTATGGAATTTTCTATCACATTGTCCTCAACTGCTACGATCAGCATTATTATTCGTTGGGTTTCAAAATAGTCCAAACTTCAAACCTATGATTTGTGTTCTCATGATTTCAATAGGTTTGTCCATCTTGATAAGGCATCTTGGAGAAAGTCACAAAAGTGGTCAAAAATTCTAACATGTAATAGGGGGAGAGAGAAAGAGACAACAAGGAGGTATTCAAGAAGAGTTAAGAAGTTGTTCTCTACAATGGTAGGTAAACGCCATTTGAAGTCTAGGTGTAAACCAAACCAAGTAGCCTATGCTTACTTCGAAGTCTAGGTGGTAAGTCAGTAGAGTTGGGTAAAATTTTTACTTGTATCTAGCAAGGGATACTTCCTCCATGTTTATATCCTAGTAATTTGTCCCTTGCAACAAGCAGCCTCTATTGCTGTTTTCTGCATGTAGCGAGGTTTAAAAACGATTCATGTGAACTTTATGTGTTGCTTGTTTGCTAAATTGTTCATCATCATTCTTTGTACTCCTTGACATTCTTTCATAAAATCCTCGGGGCACTGAAGCATTCTTTAAATACCGAATCATCTTGCATTGACATTCATCCTTCCCAACAGGATGAAAGATCACATGGGTGGCATTTAATTTCTGACTGATCAATTTGCATAGTTAACATCATATCACTATCAAATAATCTTATAATGCACTTCTAGCTGTAATGATGAAATGACCCATCCAATAGAATTCTACATCGAAACAGGTTAAGGGTATACCAGTTATGAGTGATTAGCGAAACAAGAAAAGGATGATACACAGATCAATAATCTATTTACTTCTTTGTCCAATCTAGGTAAAGGCAGAAAGACATTCAAGCAGTTATGACTCCATATAGCATATTATCTATGAAATGCACAAAAAATAACAATAATGTGCTAAATGATAAACATACTGACACATCACATGTCGAAATAATGACGTCAAACAGAATCATATAATTTGTATTTTTATAGAAAAATTTAAAATGTTACATGAAATTTCCTCCTCTAATCTAATCCCTATAAAGCATTTCTTGCGATCAGAAGTTTTAAACACTAAAATCTGACTTCTGTCTAGAAAAATAAAATAAGAAACAATTAGGTCTGAAGGAATTGCACTAACCAGCAAGAGATATATAGAGATTGAAGGGGATCTTTTGAGAAAGTAGAAGAAGAGATTCTGATCTGTGTTCCTTCCTAGATGTAGCAGGAGCAAGAAAAACAAGATAGGCAAAAACGATTTGACCGATGATTTGTGTGCGTGCTCTTGTGTGTGTGTGTGTGTGAGAGAGAGAGAGAGAGAGAAAGAGAGAAGGCAAATTGGGTGAATTAAAGAGGTAGTTACTGGTAGTAAAATCAACGCAAGTGCACTGAGAGAGAGTGAGAGAGAGGAGAGGAGAGGACACGCTCCTGGTAGAGCCCTGGTACGGGTTTTAAACGAATCAGGTTGATTCATTTGGTGTAGAAAATTTCAAAAGACGAACTTGTTATGCTATTAAACAGGTTACCCAAATTTGACATATTTTATAAATAAGTTATTTTTTGAGTTAACACATAAGATAACATGTTTAATACACATAATTTGTTTTAATATCTGTTTACTACTATTAAATATATCATTTAATTTTTCATTCAAAATTTTAAATAATTTTTTCACCAATAATATATTACATTTCATCAATAAAATTAACTAAAACGCATTCAAGTTACAACCCAAAAATTAAAACAAAAACTATACTATTATAATGTCATAATAATGTTAAAAACTATATTTTTAATTGTTATAGTTGAAATAATAATTAATAAGTAATAATGTTAAGACCACATCAGTCATACATAATAGATAAATTATATTGTTATAAACAGTTTAAATGGGTCTATACTGAATTAGGTTGGATTTGTATTCAAATCACATAAATCTGTTTAAAATATGCGGATTAATCAAGTTAAAATTAGGTTGATCTGATTTTGACATGAATTCGACATTATTTTTTCGTGTTTAAGCATGTTAATTCGTTTTTACCCATTGACCAGTTTAAGCACATAACTCTTTATGCTTTGTAAAGGAGAGAAGTTATGGAAGATTTGACGCCAAAATACATCATTTTTCCTTAGTTACCCTTAGAACTTATCTCACGTGAGTCATGCGTGTGTTTGTCCGGCATAGTAAGCAGCTGAATCGGATGGAAGGGCTTGATTGACACACATTGACAAGTTGAAGGGCTAAATTGACACAAATCAAAGTTGGGGGCTTAATTAACTTAAACTATATAGTTTAAGAACTAAATAGGTAGTTAACTCTTATTTATGTGCTTTGGAAATGAAGACTAAGGAAATTATGAAAAGAGGGAGAACTAATACTATTATTTGCATATAAGATAAGTAATATTTGTATATAAGATAAGTAATATTAGATTGATGGAGTTTTTAAAAAATTTTGAACACTTTATTGAAAATATAATAATAACTATTTTTTAAAGGTAATATAGTCGATCAAAATTTTTTATATAAACTAATATTTATACATATAAAATAGATAATTAAAAGAAATGTTATAAATACATAAGGATATGATAATAATTTAAGTATTTAATTATGAAAGAATATAGTGGTTTTTGCAATATTTTATAAGGGTACAATAGAGATTCAAAAAATTTTCATTTTAATGTACTTTTTGTTAATAGTATCGTATAGGTAGATGTATGCTATGTGTGAGTTATAATGTGTGTTTGGTATCTGCCTTTATCGGAAACAACTAGAAGCGAATCTAATAACACCTATATTTATACTATTTATAAATGTCAGTATTTGTGTGAAAAAATTTTGATTTTTTATTTTATTTTTAATTATTATCNTATATTTATACTATTTATAAATGTCAGTATTTGTGTGAAAAAATTTTGATTTTTTATTTTATTTTTAATTATTATCATAAAATCAATTATATTCACGCATGTTCTTATTAATGTTATTCTTTTTCCTTACCGGTCCTATTAGCTTACAAATTTCATTTGAACCAACTCCCTTCTTATCAACTAACGTTTAGGTTTTTATTTATTCATTTCTTCTATAGAGTTAAATCTTTAATTACAATTATAACTTTGACAACTCTAATGATTATATAATACAGGTATATAAATAACATGATCAATAATTTTATTAACATATAATTGACATATTAGATTCTACTGTCAAATATATTTCATCTATACTTGATTTTTGGGTATTCAACAATATCTTAATATTAATACAAATAATAGTATTACAATCTAATTGATGTCTTTGTTAATAAAAATATAATAAATTGATATAATAAATACTCAATAATGACAATTTTTAAGCTCCACTATAAAAAAACAAANATCTAATTGATGTCTTTGTTAATAAAAATATAATAAATTGATATAATAAATACTCAATAATGACAATTTTTAAGCTCCACTATAAAAAAACAAAGGAAATTTCTAAAAGGGTCGGAGAGATACCTAAAAATGACAGATTAGGTACCCTAAGAGAGATAGAATAGATCAATAATTAAATTTAGTAATAATTAAAAAAGAATTAATTATTTGACATATAATTTATTGTTCAATTTTAATTACAAATATAAGTTAATTTTTTATTNTAATAATTAAACAAGAATGAATTATTTGACATATAGTTTATTGTTCAATTTTAATTACAAATATAAGTTAATTTTTTATAAAAAAAAATTATTTTTATTTAAATATGTTCACGTGCAAATAAATGTCAACATTTATGAAAAACTGCTGATTTTTTATTTTATTCTTAATTATTATTATAAAATCAATTGCTCACATATTTGTTTTCATCCAATTTTTAATGTTTTCAGTCTTTTTTAAATTCTTTTAGACTTTTATTAGTAGTATTTGACTTCTAAATTTTTTTGAACTCATTTATTGGTAGTACACTTACATATAATTTCTATATCTATATTTTATTTATATAAAAAAATAAAATACAATATATATTCTATTATTATATACATGTTGTTGGCAAATTGAATGTTATTGTCAAATATNATATCTATATTTTATTTATATAAAAAAATAAAATACAATCTATATTCTATTATTATATACATGTTGTTGGCAAATTGAATGTTATTGTCAAATATATGTCACATTTATTTATTTTTTAATATGTAATAATATCATAATATTATGATACAAACTATTCAAATATACAAATACTCAAGAATGACAATTTTATAATAAAATTTCACTATAAACAAAAAAGAACATGTTTAAAGAAGTCGAGAAAATGCCTAAAAATTAACAAATTAAGTACTCAAATAAGAGTAGAGTAGATCAATAATTAGGTTTAGTAATGATTAACATAAAATTTAATTATTTGACACATAATTTATTATTCAAATAAATTACAAATATAAATTAATTATTTTATAAATATTATTATTTAAATATATTCACGTACAATGCACGCCATGCATTACTAGTCTCCTCAAAAGGCATCAGGGTTATCATGCAGGGAATCAAATGTGCTCAATTTTATCTAATTGTTTGATTGTTTATGTGATTCGGATGCACAATGAGTTAATCTAATCTATGCATAAAGATAAAAAGATAGTGCGTGAGGTATTTTTAGCTACTGTGGGATATGAGAAAGATTAGATATATGTATTTTTACTTTGTTTGTAGAGGGACATTAAATAATTTTATCTCCAAATTTAATAAAATCTCTCATAAGATACAAAGATTAATTTAGTTAAATTAGTGACTAAATTTGAAAGATGTGACTAATATTAAGAATAATGACAAATACTAAGTGATGGTCCCAGATCACAAATGATGGGTCCAGACTACACTTAAATCAAACATGCAGACCAAATTTAGTTCAAATATACGGGCCAAGTCTATCATATGATTAAGGAAGTTTAGTCGGGTCAACTTCGCTATCTTGAGAGACTCAATTCAACACACGTGGACATCTTTGTGGAACGTATTCATCGGATGCACGTCGCCACCTCCATGCAACTACTTTGATTGTTACGAGAATAGTGCCTCAAACTGTTATAAGACACTTATAAATTGTAAGCCTCATCTTTACAAAAGGGATCACTCACATCTGAGTGTTCTACACTCCTTGAATAATAAAATACTATGGTTACCATAGAACCCTTCATAGTGAAGTAAATCATCCTGACCATACTACTTAATTTGTGTTTACTTGTATTGAGTATTATTCTTAATTACTGTATTAAATGATTGATAAGTGGTGCATAAATACATTTTGTGTGTCGTCACTAAAGATCATTGTCGTGTTGTAGGGGATGATAAAACACTATATTAAGTGTGTAAAGAATAAAGTTTAGCATTATTTAGCTCCATCAAGTTGAGACACTAGTTATTCTCTAATTCACCGTTTTTAGTAACTGAAATAAAAAGTTGAGATGCTAGTTTAACTAAATTGTATTTTTGATCAATCTTAATTTTGTATCTATATATCGCATTCTTAAATGTGACATATATTTTTTGTGGAATTTAATTCTCAATACATCGAATATGATATTTTATTCTTTAAAATATAAATTTGTGAATACGACATTCGAGTACAAATTTAAAATTTGTCGACATTAGAAAATTCAATTTAGCTAAACTAGTCTAAAGACCAAGGCTCATTTTGACCTCATGAGAGATCACCGGAGGTCAATCATATAATAGTTAAGGATCAAGATTTCGTTTTATTGTAATATTTTGATAAATTTGAAAATAGAAACATTTCGATTATATTTTAAAAATATTTTGAAAACAAGATGTAAACAAAGAAAAATTGTAAAAATTTATTTTTAAAAAATTGATTGAAACAGCAAAAATATTCTAAAACACAAGTCAAAATACACTGAAAACTTCAAAATACACAGAAATATCTGTAAATATAAAAATTTTAATATTTAATCATTGAATTCGTTTTCATTTTCATAAAAACGAAAACGTTGGACCATTCCGAAAATGAAATTAGTTCACGTGATTGTTGCCGACGAGGAGCTATAAATATCACCCGGACTTTTACCTTTCGAGTTCGAACTGGACACTCGTCAACTAACTTTGGATCGATGAGCGTCGATTTTAATTCGGGTTCAAGTTGAAGCATCTAAATTTACGGAGGTTTAAGATTTAATACAATGGAACGGAACGTATCTACTTGATGCTTAATAGCAATTAGTCCGTTTATCACTTCCTTTTCCTGAAGGTGGGGGGAAGAAAAAGGGTAGAAGAAGACAGAAAAGGCCGTGTCTGGATTTGGGGAAGCCATGAAACCTGTCATTTTTTCGTTTTTTTTTTTTGAAACCTGTCATTGATCAACTATCCTGTGCTTCAAAGTTCTGACACAAAATGGTCAGCTGAGCCAATGGAATTCACAGCACCACACCCGAAAACAGTTCTATTTCATATTAACACTTCCTTCAACAACCATAGAAAACCTCATCCATACATGACCTGCAACACACACATCAGTCCCAGGGTAAGCACCCATCGTCCCTGTCCCTCCAAGCTTTCAATTCCAATTCAGTTGCTTCTACTCAGACCCCAGTACAAACAACCCCAACCCATCAAATCACCCACCAAGAAAAGCACCACCACCTCAGACGTTTTGCGTTTGATGAACAGTTTGAACCTTCCCATACCCAAAGACATCTACATTTCCCTCATCAAAGAATGCACCGAAACCGGAGACCTTAACGGAGCCATGGAACTAGATGCCCATCTCAACCAAAGTAGTTTTCGCCACCATTTGCCATTGCTTAACCGCCTCCTGATTATGTATTTGTCTTGTGGTTTTATCGAAAATGCCCACCAATTGTTTGATAGAATGCCCATTAAAGATTTGAACTCTTGGGCTGCAATGATTTTCGCTTATGTGGATGAGGAAAAGTATGAGGAAGCTATACATTTGTTCATAAAAATGCAACACATATACCAATACCATTGTAATGAAGGAATTCTCAAATTTCCGGTTTCATGGATTGTGGTATGCATTTTACAGGCATGCGTTAGTACAATGAACTTGGAGTTTGGGAGACAAATACATGGCTGGTTAATGAAGGCAGGCTATTCCAATGATCTGTTTTTGAGCAGCACCTTGGTTAGCTTTTACGGGAAATTGGGATGCTTAGAAGGTGCTGACTTTGTTTTTGATCAAACTTCTGGACGAAACACTGTTGTTTGGACGGCTTACATTGCCAATTATTGTAAGGAAGAGCGTTTCGATGAAGTTATTGGTGTGTTTAAGGAGATGGGGAGGGAAGGAGTGAAGAAGAATAGCTTTACGTTTTCTAGTGTTCTCAAGGCCTGTGGAAAGTTGAGGGATGATGGATACTGTGGTCGACAAGTCCATGCCAACACGATAAAATTAGGGGTTAATTTGAAAAGTTATGTGCAGTGCGGAATGGTTGACATGTATGGGAAATTTGGGTTAGTGAGAGATGCTAGAAGGGTGTTTGAGATGAATGGTGTAAAGAAAAATGCTGCATGCTGGAATGCAATGCTTAACGCTTACATACAACATGGATGTTGCATTGAGGCTGTTAAGGTACTTTATGAGATGAAGGGAGGTGGCTTAGAACCAAGGGAATCATTGGTCAATGAAGTGCGGTTTGTTTGTGGTAGTACAAATCTGGAAAATAAGTTCGATAAGATGTTTTAATAGAATTTGTATTTGAATGCAGCTGGAATGCCAGGTTTTCCTCTGTTAACTGCTCCCAATCACTGGCTGGTGGTTCTTATCTTTTCTATGGAACTTTGGAAGCATCCTGGCATGGCAATTCCACAATTGGCTATACCTGGGATGGATATTGATACTTGTTTTTGATAGATTGCTATATTTCTGGAGATTTTACATTCTTTCAAGGCTTCAGATATGAGAGATTGATTGCCATATTTCTGGGTGTTGGAGCAGCATCTTTCTGATGCAGCAAGTGTAGAAATTGCAATAGGTATGTGAACGGTAGTCTTGGCTGAGTGTGTCTATAATTTGTATATTAAGAATTTGGCGCAGTGGTTAAGTTTATTCCATTTATCACCTGGGTATCANATGCATCCTTCAATTAATTCTTCGTTAAATAACTCGAGTTGGTAATGGATCAGACTAGTCCACTAGTCAATGGTTGAGGTGACACCTTACATCAGTTTCGTTTTCTGGTCAACAGCCCAGACCATACTAGTAAGACCATATATATGTATATGCATGAGAGTGTGTGTACTATAATTTATGCACCCCTCTTTCGGGCTTCTCTGTAGCTGTCTACGCGTGGTTTATGCTTTGCTATAGGTGCAGTTTTCAAAAGTTATAATAGTTTTCAAAAAAACTAGGCCTAGCAATGAGTTAGGTCAGATCAAGTCAAGCCAGGTGAGATTCATATCATGTCTTAGTTTTGTTATGTCAATATTTTGTCAACCCAATGTATTGCATCAGATGTGCTTCGTGTCATATTTGATTTGAATCACGTATTCATAATATTTTCTCAATTTTATATCAATCTATTTTGCAAGTGAGTTTAGAAGTATACTCGCTTATCACTTGGACTCATTTAAACTAAATCTAAACCCCATATTAGTTACGTATCATACTTGCACATCATGTCTGAAATTATTATGCTTAGTCTAAACTCAATGTCTTTTGAACGAACGTAAATTAGGAAGCAAGCAGTCAGTGACAAACTATAAGTTTGAATTAAATCAAGCCTATGTTGTGAAATTGAATACTATGAAGTTCTTATCTTAATATTAAGATTTCATTCATAAATTTTATCACAACAATGGAGGGAGGAAAAAGTCGAACCACTGATCTGTAGGAGGGCTTTATCATTGTTGGTTGTGGTGTTCCAAATATAGTAGAATCACTTATTGAAGTTTTTGATTTAAAATAAGTAAAATAGTAACAAACAGGTATGAAACACGAAANTGTGGTAGTACAAATCTGGAAAATAAGTTCGATAAGATGTTTTAATAGAATTTGTATTTGAATGCAGCTGGAATGCCAGGTTTTCCTCTGTTAACTGCTCCCAATCACTGGCTGGTGGTTCTTATCTTTTCTATGGAACTTTGGAAGCATCCTGGCATGGCAATTCCACAATTGGCTATACCTGGGATGGATATTGATACTTGTTTTTGATAGATTGCTATATTTCTGGAGATTTTACATTCTTTCAAGGCTTCAGATATGAGAGATTGATTGCCATATTTCTGGGTGTTGGAGCAGCATCTTTCTGATGCAGCAAGTGTAGAAATTGCAATAGGTATGTGAACGGTAGTCTTGGCTGAGTGTGTCTATAATTTGTATATTAAGAATTTGGCGCAGTGGTTAAGTTTATTCCATTTATCACCTGGGTATCACAGGTTTAAGTTGCGAAAATAATCTTTGTACATAGGTCTAGACAGCATACATATCTAGTTCTCGTCGATCTCCAAAGTGGTGAAAGCCTCATACATTAGGCTGTCTTTTCTATTTATGTTGTTGCTGTTGTAACTTGTAACTGGTGATAGGATGAAGTGTAGCATTTAATGAATTGCCGATGGGTGAGTATGCATGTATGACATCATTTTTATATCCTTCGGCCTGAAGTGAATACGAAGGAATTGTCGGTGAGTTATCTGCTGATGTATGNGCTTCTCTGTAGCTGTCTACGCGTGGTTTATGCTTTGCTATAGGTGCAGTTTTCAAAAGTTATAATAGTTTTCAAAAAAACTAGGCCTAGCAATGAGTTAGGTCAGATCAAGTCAAGCCAGGTGAGATTCATATCATGTCTTAGTTTTGTTATGTCAAAATTTTGTCAACCCAATGTATTGCATCAGATGTGCTTCGTGTCATATTTGATTTGAATCACGTATTCATAATATTTTCTCAATTTTATATCAATCTATTTTGCAAGTGAGTTTAGAAGTATACTCGCTTATCACTTGGACTCATTTAAACTAAATCTAAACCCCATATTAGTTACGTATCATACTTGCACATCATGTCTGAAATTATTATGCTTAGTCTAAACTCAATGTCTTTTGAACGAACGTAAATTAGGAAGCAAGCAGTCAGTGACAAACTATAAGTTTGAATTAAATCAAGCCTATGTTGTGAAATTGAATACTATGAAGTTCTTATCTTAATATTAAGATTTCATTCATAAATTTTATCACAACAATGGAGGGAGGAAAAAGTCGAACCACTGATCTGTAGGAGGGCTTTATCATTGTTGGTTGTGGTGTTCCAAATATAGTAGAATCACTTATTGAAGTTTTTGATTTGAAATAAGTAAAATAGTAACAAACAGGTATGAAACACGAAAGAGTTACACATAATTTGTTTGTTTAAACAATATAAATACTAACCCAATTGTAGAACATGAACTATTATTGAACTATAGGTAGATCAAGACTAGTGTTTGACACTACGTCCTTAAGGCATATTTCGCCCCCACACACGGTGCTTATGGAATACCGAGCGTCTGCCTCCTAGGATATAATGATCTTTACACGAACAGAAGTAGCACTCCAATCTGCTCGTCCAACAAACCAATATTGTGTTGTGTACTCTATCTAAATGCACTGTCTTAATGCCGAAATGTAGAATGTTTAATGCCTTAATGGACTGATTCATTGAATGAATAAAATGAATGCATGAACTGGGTATTTATAGATAGTCTGGTGACTGTTCAAACAGCCACCATACTAAAGGACACAATCCAGAAACAAAAAGTCGACCAGTCAGTGGACACCTTTAATAACTGTTCTATATGAACAGTCATAATTCAATTTTGGACCGATCCAGTGGGTACCGAACTAATTTCGGGTTAAGAAATTCTCGCTCATTAATTAAATGAATTTTATTCAAAAATATAAGGCTTGGTCTAAACCACACCCGAGCCCGACCCGGCCCAGGCCGGGTCATGGCCAGGCGGGCGAGCAGCGCGTGCGTAGTTGAACCGAAGGCATGTAGGTGCTCACTCCGCTTATAAAACTGTGGTACCCTTTGGGGTCCAATCCCATAGAGCAAACTTGACCTATATATGCTTATGTTGAATTTCTTCCTTAACCAATGTGGGATTAGTGTCACATCCCACATTGCACTTCCTTTATTTTCATGTTTTCAGAGAGTTACTTTGGAGCCTATTTTCTCATTCATTTCTTACTCGATTTGAGCAAGTGAATATATTATATTATTTACCTCACGGAGTAGAATATGAACCCATAAAATTTTATTTAAAATAACAATTGGGTCCCATTTTAATTTAGACTCAAAGTCGGCCAAAAACTCAGTTTTTACACTCAAAAAACTGTTTTGGTCCAACAATCCCCCACATGAATGGAAAATTGGTTGTTAGTATACAAATGATAATACTGACACACTATAGAGAATACATCTTTAAAAAAATCATGCATCGAGATAAGTAGCTTTTGGCCTTGAACCTTCCCTAGTAAAAAGCTCATCGGACTTACCGGCTAAATAGTGAATGTGATGTCTTGAACTATTCAGCTATTTGATAAATCAGATCAAATAAACTTCACACAATCTCTTTCCTAACATAATTGGTTCTTATGATTGTGTTCATTTTGGCCCTGAAAAACTACTGGTTTTCATGAGTGCTTTAGAGGATTTAGCCTTTACAAATTCTCATAGAAGCGGCCCCTTCACACCCATATATGTGACTCCTATTAGGAATATCCTGCAATATCCCACTTGAATTTACCAAGGTATAAGAGTTATTCAAAGCATAACTTACCCTAATAAACTTTGTAGGCAGCACTAGGTTATCATAGGAATAGTACCCTAAAGAGTTAGTGCTTCTTTTGAATCACGCATAACTCGGTTGTCTCGTTGAACCTAGATCTTGGGATCTCCAGTTAACTAGGTTAGGTTGCCATTAAGGTGACTCTTGTGTTATAGACTTTAATCTCATTCCCATCGATGTGCAATTTACTTGCTCTCTTGTCAAACCTTTTGTAAACGGATCCACTAGATTATCCTTTGACTTTATATAATCAATGGAAATAATCCCATTTGAGAGCCATTGCCTAACAGTATTATGTCTACGACGTATGTGTACAGACTTACTATTATACATGTCACTCTGTACCCCACCAATTACAGAATGGCTATCGCAATGTATACAAATTGCTGGCATAGGTTTAGGCCATATTAGAATATCTTCTAGAAATTGGCGAAACCACTCAGCTTCCTTTCCTGCTTTATCTAAAACAATAAATTCAGATTCTATTGTGGATCCGGCAATACACGTTTGCTTAGAGGATTTTTAAGATACAGTTGCACCACCAACTGTAACAATATAACCACTTGCGAATTTTGTATCCTTCATATCAAATATCCAGTTTGCATCACTATACTCTTCAAGTACAGCTGAATATCTTGTATAGTGCAATCCAAACTTTAGGGTATATCTTAAGTATCTAAGAACCCTGATAATTGTCTTCCAATGGTCTACTCCCGGATTACTTGTATATCTACTCAATTTACTAACTAAGTATGTTATATCCGGTCTAGTGCAGTTCATAACATACATTGGACTGCCAATAATACGAGAGTAGTCCAATTGTGATATGTTTTGACCAATATTTTTAGACAAATGAAGATTTGTATCAACTGGTGTTCTAGCAATGCTACTTTCATATTTGTCGAACCTTTCAAGTATTTTCTCAATATAATGTGATTGAGATAATATAAGTCCACCATATGTTCTAAAAATTTTAATTTCTAATATAACATCTGTAACACCCAAATCTTTCATGTCAAACTTACTGGACAACATTTTCTTGGTAGTTATAATAATATTATTATTACTACTTAAAATAAGCATATCATCCACATATAGACAAACAATGACATATTCATTATTTGTGTCTTTAATATAGACACGTTTATCACATTCATTAATTGTGAAATCATTTAACATCATTACCTTGTCAAATTTCTCATGTCATTGTTTTGGTGTTTGCTTTAAACCATAAAGTGATTTAACAAGTCTAAACACTTTCTTTTCTTGTCCCGAAGAAACAAACCCTTCAGGTTGTTCCATATAAATTTCCTCATTTAAGTCACCATTTAAGAAAGTTATTTTTATATCTATTTGGTGTATCTCAAGATTATGCAATATTGCAATAGCTATGAGCATACAAATAGATGTTATTCTCGTGACAGGAAAATATGTATCAAAGTAATCAAGACCTTCCTTTTGTTTATAACCTTTAGCTACAAGGCTAGCCTTGTACTTATTAATTGATCCCTCACTTTTCATTTTCATCTTTAAAATCTATTTACAATCTAATGGTTTACTCCCTGGAGGAAGATCTACCAACTTTCAGGTGTGATTTTGCATGATGGATTCAATTTCACTGTTTACAGTTTCTTTCCACATAGGTGCTTCAGGAGTGGACATTGTTTCATTGAAGCTTTGAGGCTCATTTTCTAACAAATATGTTAGAAAATTTGGACCATAGGACTTGAAAGTCCTTACCCTCTTACTGCGTCTAAGTGTCTCTTTACTTTCTTCATTTATAGACTCATTGTCTATATTGCTAGTCGCAGTATCATGAGCTCTTTTAAGAGAACTCCCATCACATGTATTTTTACTAGGAAAGATATTTTTAAAAAATGATGCATTTCTTGACTCAATGATTGTATTGACATGTATATCAGGAATATCAGATTTATGCATAAGAAAACGATATGCACTGCTATTTATTGCATAACCAATAAATATACAATCAATAGTCTTAAGTTCTATTTTAATCTTTTTGAGAATATGAACCATCACTTTAGCCAAACATTCCCATATTTTTAAATATTTGTAGGAAGGACTCCTTTCTTTCCATAAATCATAAGAGGTGTTGTCTAACTTCTTGTGGGGTAGTCCATTTAAAATATAATATGCTGAAAGCAAAGCTTCCCCCCACAAGTTTTGAGGTAATCCTGAAGTAATCAACATGACATTCATCATCACTTTCAAAGTTCTATTTTTACGTTCANTTTTCTAACAAATATGTTAGAAAATTTGGACCATAGGACTTGAAAGTCCTTACCCTCTTACTGCGTCTAAGTGTCTCTTTACTTTCTTCATTTATAGACTCATTGTCTATATTGCTAGTCGCAGTATCATGAGCTCTTTTAAGAGAACTCCCATCACATGTATTTTTACTAGGAAAGATATTTTTAAAAAATGATGCATTTCTTGACTCAATGATTGTATTGACATGTATATCAGGAATATCAGATTTATGCATAAGAAAACGATATGCACTGCTATTTATTGCATAACCAATAAATATACAATCAATAGTCTTAAGTCCTATTTTAATCTTTTTGAGAATAGGAACCATCACTTTAGCCAAACATTCCCATATTTTTAAATATTTGTAGGAAGGACTCCTTTCTTTCCATAAATAATAAGAGGTGTTGTCTAACTTCTTGTGGGGTAGTCCATTTAAAATATAATATGCTGAAAGCAAAGCTTCCCCCCACAAGTTTTGAGGTAATCCTGAAGTAATCAACATGACATTCATCATC